CCCAAATCTTAAAACACTTTAGAAAAGTCCAGATTAGTCAACTTACCTTAAAAGAAAGAATAAGCGATAATTTAGTTTTCTGATCAAGTTTTTGAAAAGTAGTAATTAGTTTTCTACCATCCCAAGACAAGTGTGGGCTTTGTCGGATTTTCCTTCTCCGGAGTTGGGGTTTGAAAGGGGTTCTGTTTACTCAAATATATATCACTTTTTGATAAACAGAGATAACCTAAAGTGGCCAATTGAGTTGAGAAGAAGTTTCCCTTGGATCATTTGGAGGATTTGGAAAAATAGAAATCTTTTCTTTATTGAAGGTAAAAGATTTTCTGCAGTAGAAACAATGATAAAAGTGAGGGAAGATGTTGAGGATTGGTTTGCGGCTCAAGTGGTGGAAGGGAAAGGAAGTCTTTATTGGATCAAGAGGCTCTCGCGGGATCAACTTTGCAAGCTCTGTCCCCTGCAGCCCGTTGGATTCCTCCACCTCTGGAGTGATTCAAGTGTAACGTTGGGCTGTCTTGGTCTAGAAGAAATAGTTTGGCAGGAGTCGCGTGGGTTTTAAGGAATGATTTAGGCAATGTTTTGTTGCATAGTCGACGAGCTTTCACTAATATCAACTCATTGGTGGAGGCTCATTTCTTGAGCATTGTTTGGGCTGTTGAAAGTATGGTTAGCCATAGAATTAACAGAGTTATTTTTGGAGTGGAATCTGCGGTGTTGGTAGGTGTGATGAACAGACCACAAGCTTGGTCTTCCTTCAAATATCAGGCTTCAGAGATAATGGAGGTTTTAAAGGTAATTGCAGATTGGAGAGTGTGTTTGGAATCGGTGGCTTCAAATAGAGGTGCTAATCTCATTTCTCAAAGTGTTACTAAGGAGTGTAGGCTTCAATCGTATGTGGCCTCAAGTTTTCCTTCTTGGCTTCTTGGTGTCTTTAGAGATGAGAGAGTTCTAACCTCTGTGGGCTGAAGGCCTTGCTGTTTTATGGCTCCTTGTTCTTGTGGGAGTTATATTCCTTTGTTTGTTGCCCTGTTGTATGTTTTTCTCAGGGTTGGCCTTTAGATTGGTGCTTCTTGTCCTTTGGCCAATTTTTTGGAATGGCTTTTCTCAAGCCTGTTGTAAATCTCTCTATCCTTAATATAATTCCAGTTGACAAAAAAAAGTTTTCTACCATCCCAATCACATGTATTGAGAAAAGATATACTCTAGGTTTTACCATCATCCTTCCTATAACTTAACTACTGTATTCTATTAAGCCGAAAATAATTTGTATAAAGCAAATTTTAAAAGTTACCGCGAAATTAGATTCATCCTAAGGATAAAGGTATATATTTTCATATTTAAAAAGGGAGAAAAGTTGTATGATAAGACAAAAAGTCCATCTTTGAAGAAGCGAACGACCAAAGGATCCAAGGAGACAATATAATCTGATTCATGCCCCCAAAGTCATCTTTCTCCATTTCTTTTCCATATTTTTTTATTTTTCAACTTTATATATTTTCTTCCTTTTTTCGAAAAATACAAAATGATTACATTTTACCTGTGGTCTGTGGATCTTTTAATCATAAAATTATAATGTAGATGCTCCTTTACTAGAGAAAGAGTCTACAGATAAAAATGTCAATTCAATCGATTCCATTACAAAACCAGATTAATGTTTGCTTTTTCATAAAATAAAAAACGTATTTTCTTTTCTTTTCTTGGATAGTAAAAAACCATTACATAAAACACAGGATTTTTTATGTTGGGTTTTGATAATTGACTTGGGCTTTCTTTGAAAAACTAAAAATGGCCCATGAACTCTACAATCACTTATGAAGAATCTTATCAATAGTTCGAAGATTTAACCAATCCTAAACTGACATTAACGAATTGCCATTGAAACCATAAACTCAAATATAATTTTATATGTTAAGATATTTATAATCAATCAAATGACACAATGGTGTTAATCATGTAGAACATATTTATTTCCAATATTTTATTCTTTAGTATTATTTAAAAGAAATATTAAGTTTCTATTGTGAAGTAATTTGCATTGAAATTTTGCGATATATTTAGAGGGGAGACACAATCTAACATGATATATTTTCCACAAATAATGATAAAGAGAGCGAGAGCAAATAACTTAAAAATATATAGGCCACGTTCGTTTTTCCATTCAGATGGATCATCTGGATGGAAATGAAGAATGATAACGTTTTTGACAATTTAACAAAGCATTTAGATGAATCAGTTGGATGGATCATCTGAATGAGTTTGTAGTTTTAGGCGAATTTGTCAAACTCATCTGGATTAACATGATTGGAGCATTTGGATGGAGATGATTCAGTCAAAAATAATAAATGACAAATATACCCACATTTACAATCATATATCAAATAATATTACTTTGTTTGTCTCATTCTTGTAGTGAGATGACATATGTGCAGCAAATTGTTGAGAAATATTGAATTCACCGTAGCACTTGGGACATGTATACGGAACGCATTTTTCATACGGTAGACTATGTGTCCGACCATCATATTGATCATCCTCACCTTTCTCGTGTTTTTCAAAATCTATAAAATCATTAGTTTTTCGAAAAAAATGGTTGGTTTGGGGACTTTTTTCAAAGATTGACTCTCATGACAAATATTTTGATCATGGTTATGCTTGGATGACAAGGAAAAAAAGTTTAAATGTTGACGATCTACAGAATTTTGGTGCGGGAAAATGACATTAAGAGGTTCAGGAGTCAGAATCTGGCATTGTTTATCAAGAAAATTTGGAGGATGTAAAATAGGATTCCAAATATTGGGTTTAGAATCCATGGCACGTTTGACATGTTCAATATCATATTGAACAGCATCAACTGTATTGGCAGGAGCAATAGAACTATACCTATTAGTGATGGTTTGAGTGAAAGAAACTCTAGTAAGATGAGGATTATCTTTAATAGGAAAATAATCGGTACCAGAAACATAATCAATGTTTCTTCTCATCATATGGTTGGGCATATGTGAATTGTTAAATCCAAAGAAAGATGAAGAGACATGTGAATTTTGGTAAGCAGAAAAAGGAGAAGACGAAAACAAATCCCTATGGTTCGAACAATCATATGTAGTAAACATCGATCGAACCATCTTGTAGTTGTGATTCATTTTGATGGGAAAAAAGTCACAGTGGTTTGTAGAATCATCACCGTATATATATAACATATTTGGAATGGAAGACATATTTTAAGATTGAGTGTATCTTATGGCATTTACTTGTACACAAAAAGTAAAAGTATAAACCTCAAAAACGGAAAAGTATTTTAAAATACAAAATTGCCAATAAAACATTACTTCTTTTTGTTTTTTTCATATATTATATTATTTTGACAGCATGCAATAATTTAAATTTTGATGATGGCATATACTCATAAAACTCACTAGATTAGATGAATTTTATTTTTGTTTTTCTAAAAAATCATCAAGTTGTTATTATTATCTCACTTTAAAGGAATCAGATGGTTTCAAGTTCTTATGTTTAAGCTAAAGCATGTGGGTTATATAAATTTACGTTGTATGGAAACTCCATTCTCAAACATTTCTTTCCGTTTGAAACTTTTCGGAATCTGAATCTCTTGAGAACACAAGATAACGCCGCAGAAACAGAATTCTTAAGAATCTCAATTTGGAAACAATTTGGAGACATCCGACTAGCTCCGTTTTAGAAACACGACAAACTCTTGCATTCTTGTTTAGAAACTTAATAAAAAAAATATGTGATTTGTAAATTCAAGAACATGCATTGTATTTTCTTACTAAGAAAAACCTTATTTGTTTGAGGAATATAAATCACTCATGTTTTTTTTAACAATTAAAAGTAACATAGAAAGCTATAACTCAAAAAAAGATTTGATTTACGTTGTTTTAACATCTTTTTTAAATATGATTTTAATGTCTGGTATTTTAATATATATTTTTAGTTATCACATATATATGTTCCCAAAATGTACCCGTTTCATAAATTGTGTTTATTTTTTTTTCATGTTTTATTTCTACGTATTAATTTCCGTTTCCATGCAACATATGTACATAAATCGCAAAGGATAAAGAAGAAAATTCTAAAGGTTTTATTTGTTATGTTTTTAATTTATGAAGGATTTTGGTTTTCTTCTTCCTCTATATAATATATGGTACAAAGAGTTTGAAATGTAGAAGTTGTATATAAAAGCTGAAAGTTATCTAAGATGTGAGAAATAACAAGAAAGGCGGATAAGTTCGAAGGTATGAACTTTTCATAGGGTTTGTGTAACCAAAAGTCTTCGAAAGTTAACAAAGCCATAGAGTTTATCAATATGTCCTAATAACAATATATAGAACCTTAGCTCACAAATGGATGATTGTGTCGCAGTAATAGTTATACATTGATCTCACAAAAGATAAAATTATATAGGAATAAGGATAGATATTAACTTTAAGTTTAACTAGAGAGTTGTTGGGTGAGAGTCTAAGCTGATATAAGTCATCATCTAAAGTTATAAGAAGAAAGCTAGATTTACAATTTAGGATATAGTGAACAAATATAAATCATAATCTAAAGTCGGTGTTTTATAGAATAAAGTGAGACTGTATTTAGGACATAGTGGACTCTGATATAAAAAATATACTCCCTCCGTTTCACAAAGAGTGTCGTTTTAAGATTTTAATTTCGTTTCACAAAGAGTGTCGTTTTGTGTTTTCAATACAGTTTTAAAAACTAATTCTCTTTTTTAACCTCACTATTTTAGCTTATCAATTAAAGAGAGAGTATTACTTAGTGTATTAATAAAGGGTAGAAATGAAATTTGTTTATTTTTCTTAATTTGTGTGAAAAATGCTAGAATGACACTCTTTGTGAAACAGAGGAGTATATTTTATGTTCTAAGGATAAGATCTACGTAATGCTCTATGAAAAACGGAAAACTTAATGTATGAGAGAGAATATTGCCTTAACATGCATAATTGTTTTTACTAGAAATTTAAAAAATTATTATATAAATAAAACAATTTTAAAATTGAAAGAGAAAATAAAAGACACCATCAGAATATCCAATTCAAGAAACAATAAATATGATGAAATACTAGAAAAAGAAGACAATATGCTAATGTTTTATGTTGAAAAAGGAATAATAAGGAAATAAAATCCTAAACAATCTCTTCTTTTACGATCCCAAGATTTTGAATAATTTCGCCATCACTTCTTCTACCTCTATTAACTCCATCTTCTGGTTTGATCTTTTGAGATTCCCCATACACTTCAGGATTCAGTTTACGATATTTTCTTTTATTCCTTGCACGAAGTCTTTGATCTCTTTCTTTGTTCGTCTCGCCCTTGTAGTGAGATGACATATGTGCAGCAAATTGTTGAGAAGTATTAAATACACCGTTGCATTTGGGACATGTATATGGACCGTATTTCTCATACGGTAGACTATGTGTCCGACCATCATATTGATCATCGTCAATTTTCTCGTTTTTTTCACAATGTATATAATCATTAGTTTTTTTGGAAAAAGTGGTTGGTTTAGAGACTTTTTCCAAAGATCGACCCTCATGACAAATATTTTGATCATGGTTATGCTTGGATGACAAGGAGAAAAAGTTTAAATGTTGACGATCTACAGAATTTTGGCGCGGGAAAATGACATTAAGAGGCTCAGGAGTCAGAATCTGGCATTGTTTATCAAGAAAATTTGGAGAATGTAAAGTAGGATTCCAAATATTGGGTTTAGAATCCATGGCACGTTTGACACGTTCAATATCATATTGAACAGCATCAAGTGTATTGGCAGGAGCAATAGAACTATACCTATTAGTGATGGTTTGAGTGAAAGAAACTCTAGTAAGATGAGGATTATCTTTAATAGGAAAATAATCGGTACCAGAAACATAATCAATGTTTCTCCTCATCATATGGTTGGGCATATGTGAATTGTTAAATCCAAAGGAAGATGAAGAGACATGTGAATTTTGGTAACAAGAAATAGAAGGAGAAGACGAAAACAAATCACTATGGTTCGAACAATCATATGCAGTGAACATCGATCGAACCATCTTGGAGTTGTGATTCATTTCGATGGGAAAAAAGTCATGGTGGTTTGTAGAATCATCACCATATATATATAACCTATTTGGAATGGAAGACATTTTTGAGATTGAGAGTATCTTATGTCCTTTGCTTATTATCAACCTTTTTATATAAAATTCGCACTAGAAAATAAATGTATAAAGCTCAAAAACGGAAATGTATTTTAAAATACAAAAGGAAAGAAATCTACAATATGTTAACTGTTGTTATATTATATTTAATATTTATAAGTAAAAAATCTCTAATAATTTATTTCTTTAATTTCCTCCAAAACTTCTCTATTTATTTGGCAATGTATGGATGGAGTAAAAAAAAGTTGATTTTCTGTCATATACATGGATTCGGTAGTTGAAGATATAGACAATACTCAAATGTAATTTTCTTTTGTTAACATTTAATTTTATCTATCTAAGTGGACATTTGTTGAAGTTTTGTCATCTCTCTTAATTTTGTTTGATGATATTGTCATATAATAGTGTTTTATTATTTAGAACATAAATATTTCCAGTAAAATAAATCGTTGATTATTATTATTGCAAAATTATCTATAGGTTGTGTGGTGGAGTGATTCTCATTAAAATCTTATCTATAATTCTAGTATATATAAGAAAGAAATTAATGAGATGGATGAGTCATATTTTTTCCATTTACTAGGGCACTTAACTCATACATTGTGTGTGTCTGTGTGTATAAACTATAGAAAACAAGATTCTCAATTACTTCAATATTTGAGAGACAAAATTGCCAATAAAACATTACTTTATATATATATATATATATACATATATATATATACATATATGTTTTGAAGACATCCAATAATTAGATTTGAATTTCGATGATGATATATACCCATAAAACTCATTTGATTAGATGATATATTATTATTGTTTTCTAAAAAATTATGAAGTTTTTTTTATTATGTCACTTTAAAGGAATTTAATGGTTTCAAGTTTTTTTTATGTTTAAGCTAAAGCATGTGAGTTGCTTGTCATGTGGGTTGTATAAAGCTACATTGCGTGGAAACTCTATCTTAAATGTTTTTCCGTTTTGGGAACGTTTCACTTTTCAGAATCGTTTCGGAATCTGGATCTCTTGAAAACACAAGATAACGCCGCGGAAACACAATTTCTAAGAATCTCAATTCACAAAACACTACACATCTAAGAGCATGTGCAATGGGGATCTCTTACAAAAGGCTCTCAAACAAAATAAAATAATAAAATAATAAAAAGTATTATATAATTATGAGAGTCTCTAAAAAACATGGTGAAAGTCTCTCACTTGAGAGATTTTGAGAGATTTTCTCTACATTTTTCAGAGACTCTCATTATAAAATAATAATAATAATTATTTTATTATTCTTTTTTTGCATGAGAGATTTGGGTGAGAGACTCCCACTGCACATGCTCTAACTCGCCTTGTTTTTGATACACGACGGAATCTTGCTTAATTGTTTAGAAGGTTTATAATAAATATATCATTTGTAAATACAAGAACATCTGAAAATGTATGGTATTTCTTACAAAAAAAAAACTAATTAGTTGAGTAATATAAATCACTCATGGTTTTTTCAAAATAATTAAATGTAACATAGAAAGCGATAACTCGAGAAATTTTTTTATTTGTGTTGTTTTAAATATATTTTTTAAACATAATTTAGTGTTTGGTATTTCAATATATATTTTTAGTTATCATATATATAATATATATATATATATACACAAAACGTGCATGTTGCGTAAAATATTTTCTAAAAATCGTTTCCACATTTTTGTTTTTACGTATTTTTTTCGATTCCATGCAACATAGTTACATAAAGTCGCAAAGGATAAAGAAGGGATTTCTAAAGATTTTTTTTTGTAAATATAGGTTTAATTTTTCAAGGCTATTTGTTTTCTTCTTCCTCTATATATATATATATATATATATATATATGCATGGTACAAAGAGTTTGAAATGTAGAAGTTGTATATAAAGGCTAAAATTTATCTATGATTGTGAGAAAGAACAAGAGAGGCAGATAAGTTCGAAGGTATGAACTTGTCTTAGGGTTTGTGTAACCAAAAGTCTTAGAAAGTTAACAAAGACATAAAGTTTATCAATATGTCCTAAGTCTTAACAATACATAGAACCTTAGCTCACAAATGGATGATTGTGTCGCGATAATAGTTGGAGATTGATCTCACAAAAAGATAATTATATAGGAATAAGGATGGACATAAACTTTAAGTTTAACAAGAGAGCCGTTGTGTGAAGAGTCTAAGCTAGTATAAATCATAATCTAAAGTTATAAGGAGAGAGCTAGAGATACAATTTAGGATATAGTTGTTTAGTCATAATCTAAAGTCTGGTTTCTATAGATTAAGTGATACCGTATTTAGGACATAGTAAACTCTCATATAAAGAAAAATATCTTATGTACTAAAGATAAGATCTACGTAATGATCAATGAAAAACGGTGAACTTAATGTTTTAGCCATCTACTAGCTCTCTTTGTGTGAAAAGATGTGAGTTTTCTATAAGCACGAATGATTATGTAACAAATGAATTCATCATTTACTGGTTTTCTAGATACCACCTTTATTTCACCCATCCAAAATGTATAAGTAGTTTTATGTATATTTAGTGCTAAATCAAATCTAGTATATTATTGGCAGTAAAAATCAATGTACGTGCGAGTATCTGTATCACTTATGAGTTATGATAGTTTAGAAATAACTAACTTGGAAAATTAATTGAAACTGAAAAAAATTAACGATATAACTTCACATTTTCTATTATATGATATAACTTTTTATCTAACTAGATAAAAATTTTGACCTCTTTTAAAGACTACATAAGCTTCTATAATTCATCTCTAAACTACACTAATAACCACCAGAAGAGGTCCTTTAGATAATAGATGTAGCTTAGAGATGAGTTATATAAGTTTGTGTAGCCACTAGCCACGTCTTAAGTTTGTGTAGTTAGAGGATTGGCTAATATATTTAGTTGTTGTTTTCTTCTTCTTCTTCTTCTTCTTCTTCTTCTTCTTCTTCTTCTTCTTCTTCTTCTTCTTCTTCTTCTTATCATTATCATAGACTTGATGACATTGGGCAAAGAATTGAGAAGAAGACTCTGTTTTTGTGACGTCTATTGTACTTGGTAAAGATTAGATGGTAAGATTCTGTATTCGTTTTTGCAAAGCATGTCCTTTGATTGAAAAGTTTTCTAATGGTTTTTTAACTTGATATTCATCTGATTTGCATGACTAATCACACTTGCATACTCATCTGATAAATTGCATACTCATCTAAATTCTTATAAGTAAATCATTTTTGAAAAACGTCTAGCCTTAAAAGTAATTCTTATGATTCATGTGTTAATACTTATAAAGTAAAATTCAGACCAGAAACAGTCCCAATTGTGACTAGTAACTTTCAGTTGTAAGAGACTTCTTTAGTTTCAGTTGCAAGTTGTAGATCAAATTGACAGTTTCGTTTCAGCTTTTGAGCATGTCTCTTATGTTTCAACATGTTAGTATCTATATCTGTACTTGCAATCTGTTGAGTATACTAGAGTCTTGTTTATTTATATATCTTCTGTACTTCCAAACTGTCTTGTTTTTATACTATAGTCTATCTCATTCCGAGTATATAGATTCAAGTATGTTTTTTTTTTCAACATGTTTTTAATCACTTTGCTAGTTTCTGACGTCTAGAATTCTTGCTTTTCTGGCACTTGATATTAGACTAAGGTACTTGGGAAGGACCCTAATATGATTCACTTCATGGAAGAAACTCATTTAAATAAGAAGACGCGTACAATTACCGATTTGAAGACAAAACAGATCCTCGATGGAGTTAAGAGTAAGTTGGAGCTGACCAATTCGCAACTCCAAGCTGAAGGAGATGACTCGGTTCAGTCAAATGCTTACACGGAAGAGGAGATTAACACTGTCATGCTAGAAGTAAGTTAAATTATGTTATAGTTTCCATTCTGTTTATGGTGTTCTTGTGTTCTTATACTAGACAAAGCCACTAATTATGCTTTGCTTTTTATTTTCAGCAAGTTTCATAGTTAACGGAAAGCGCTATGGGTTCGGTAGATTGTTTGATAACGGATATTTGTCATCTTCCACAGCTCCACGCCACACCTCGAAGTTACTTGAAGAGATTCAAACACTCAAGGACCGTGACCTTGAGAAGGATCGTCAATTCAAATATCTTATGGAATGCAAGTATGCAACAAGCTCCTCCTCCAACAATTTGCACAAATTCAATCACCGGGTTATCCGACAGTTCAGAATGAGACGACGAAGACGACGAACACGAGCGTAGATGACAATGACGAAGAGACTCAAGAGTAGATCGATTAGGATTTGAATCTTTACCTTACAATGGCTTGTACAGTGAATATGGCTTGGTGTGGAGTTCAAATGAAGGTCTCACGTTTCTTTTGAATTTTTAATTTTTTCAAAAAACCAAAATTTGTAACAAATAAATATAATTAATTTTATTAAAAAAATTTCTAAAATTTTAAAGGATAATGGTAAGAATTTTGTAGGCGGCGTATAGTAAGAAATTGGTAAGATAAGTTTGGTAGGTAATTGGTGAGAAATATTTTGTAGAAAATTTGAATGACCTAATTTTCTACAAAAATTTGGGAGGATAATGGTGAAAAAGGCCCTACCACTTTTCTACGAAATTTCCTTCGTGATTTCCTACAAACAAGTTTCGTAGGAAATTTCTAACGACATTCTTTCCGAATTCTATTTCCTACGGACGATTCCCCACAAACGTTTTTCGTAGAAAATCAGTAGGAAACGTCTATTTCCTACCAATCTCCTACAATTTTGGCTGTAGGAAAACGCTGTATTTTTTGTAGTATATAAGTTTGTGTAGCCACGTCAACCATTGTGTGTAGGCATGGGTAAAAATTCCAAAACTCGATCCGAACACAGCTAAAGAAACCCGGTTCAGTTTGGTTTTGGATAGTCAATATTATCCGAACGGATTTAAATTATTTATTTTTGGATTTTGGTTCGGTTCTGGTAGGATCCAAAATCCGAATGAAT